CTCCCTGGAGCCTGTGACCATTTAGCAGCCATGTCCACCTCTCTTAATTACTTGGATTCCAAAATCCCTTGCCCAGACTGCCTGAAGTCTGCGTGGGTCTCTTTCCCAGGTATACCTTTTTGGGTGTAGATACTGGTTTCTGCTTGGGTGTGTTTAGGCTTGAAGGATGGCTGAGGAGCAGTTGTTGGGGATGAGTTGTGGACAATGCTTGGCACACAGACCAAAGTGTCCACACATATGCAAGGGCCCTTGCAATACCTTGAAGGGGTGGGTGATGCATTGTGAGGGTCCTCCTTTGTACTTCCCTGCCCATGAGCCTGTTTACTGGTGACACAAAAAACACTTTGTGAGCCCAGTGCAGTGGCCTAGTAGCTAAAGTCCTCATCTTGAATGTGCTAGGGTCCCATATGGATGCTGGTTCTAATCCCCACAGCCCCACTTCCCATCTATCTCCCTGCTTGTGACCTGGGAAAGCAGTCGAGGATGGCCCAAAGCCTTGGGACTCTGCACCTGTGTGGGAGACCCGGAAGAGCTCTTGGCTCCTGGCTTCAGATCAGTGCAGCTCCTGCCATTGTAGTCACTTTGGGAGTGAATCATCAGATGGAAGATCTTCATCTCTGTCTCTCTCCTTTCTATATATCTGACTTTGCAATAAAATAAATAAATAAATCTAAAAAAAAAAAAACCCCAAAGAACACTTGGTGATTCACCCTGGGCTTCACTGGTACTCATTGTTGCCTTACCATCTCCTTTCTGTAACTTGTACCTTGAGGAATCCGTTGGGTCCTAGGTTGTCCTGGTGCTGGTTAGGTAAGGTGAGAGGCCCTGGCATTAGCAATGTTGCTTGGCTTCTTGCAAGTGTGAGCACTACACATGAGAAAGGGGCAGTGTGAGCCTGAGCATATCAACGTGTTTTGGTGAATATACACAAGTAAAATGAGCAAGGGAAAGTGAAAAAGAAAGCAAAAGTGTGTGTGCAAAAGGGAGAAGACACATATGTGTGTGAGTGTGCATGGAGTGAAGAACTGACTGGGTTCTCACCCAGCACCCACAACAGTCCTGAAGACTGTGTGTGTGTGTGCGCGTGTGTGTGTGACTAAGAGCCTGGAATAAGAGAATATGGAGGAGGGAACATGCCTCCCAATCTGTGTCAGTATACATGAGAATGGGGTGCAGTTGCAGGAGACAGAGAGAAGGACAGCAAGCCAAGATGGCCAACTCCTGGAAGCATGTGGAAAGCATGGAGCTCAGAGCTTCATGGAAGAGGAAAAAGGCCTGCAGGTGTGTGTCCTTTGGAGGTGTGTGTCTGCCCCCACAGAGCCCTGGGAGGCAGATTCAGGCTGCATGCCTGTGTGTGGGGATGTGCATAAGTGTATAGGAGCATGTTCAGTGACAAGAGGGAACAGATGTGTATGGGAGAACGTGTGAGAGTGACCAGAGGCAGGGGCAAGCCAGCATGCGTGGTCATGGGGTAGCTACGGGCTACCCGGGGATGCTAGCAAAGTCTGAGGATGTTTTTGCTCACCCCAGTGGGCTCCATAACCTGCCTGGTGCTGGCTCAGGTCCTGGTGACCGTGCCTGGGAACGTGGGTCATGCTGCTCTGCCCGGAGGTGTGTGGGAATGAATGAGTCACCCAAGCATGGCTGGCCCCATGCTGCCTGCATCTTGCCCAGTGGAGAAGAGAGTAGGGAGAGGAGAGGACTCAAGGGCTGTATTTGTACAGCATCATGTCCTTGTTTGCAGTGCTCATGGGTGTTCTTGGCCTATGTACCTCTACTGTTTCTTTTTTTTAAAAGATTTATTAATTTTTATTGCAAAGACAGATATTCAGAGAGGAGGAGAGACAGAGAGGAAGATCTTCTGTCCAGTGATTCACTCCCCAAGTGGCTGCAATGGCTGGAGCTGCACCAATCCGAAGCCGGAGCCCAGAACTTCTTCCAAGTCTCCCATGTGGGTACAGGGTCCCAAGGCTTTGGGCCGTCCTCACCTGCTTTCCCAGGCCACAAGCAGGGAGCTGGATGGGAAGCAGGGCTGCCAGAATTAGAACCAGTGGCCATATGGGATCCCGGTGCATGCAAGGTGAGGATTTTAACTGTTAGGCTACTGCACTGGGCCCTGTGTACCTGTATTCTTATGTCCAAGTTGCTGTGACTCTGGTTGACAAACAGCTATGGAAATTTACCATACCCCTGACTCAGGTTCATATATCTGTCATCCCAAATACTCTTCCTCCAAAGTCTTTCCTACACCTCTCTTCTTAGAACTTACCACTGTTTGCAATACCATATATTTTTATTTGCTGCCTGTTTGCCTTAATAGTAGGTGCCTATGCCTCTTGCTACATTTCAGGCACTCTTCTAAGCTATTACTTCACTGTATCTTCCAGTAACTCTACATGGCAGTGAACTGTGTTCCTCTCATTGTAAAGGAGAGCTCCCAAGAGGTGGAGCTGCTTGACCATGACAAGTGGCAGAGCCAAATGCAGGTGCAGAGTCCTTGCTCTTAACCAGCAGGTTAACACCATCCTGTGAAGGCAAGCAGCTTTCTCATTCTGGTCCATGGTTGAATCCCCAGTGCTCATGGCACTGCCTAGCACATGCACAGAGGATGAATGAGGACATAAACAAACAAAAAATCTGGACATGGAGGACTCAAAGAGCTCATGTTCCATGGAAAAGTACTGATTGTAGTCTCATGTCAGGATGGCAGCATTGGGGTCTGGAGGGGGCATATGACTGTCCTGGCCTCTACCTACCTCCTGAGGCACAGACACACTTTTTAACCCTTCCTGCACCAGTGCCCATGGTATCAGAAGATGATGGAAGCAAAACAGAGCAGTGATCAGGGCACAGGACTTGCGGGGCGACTACCTGCAGTGATCCTCTCTCTATCAAATACCAGCTATGTGGCCCTGGAAAAACTGGCTGGCTGTCATTGGCATGGTCTTCTCACATGGAACACTGGGGGGACCAAATGGCACTGACACCAATGAGTGACCAATATCTTTCTGCCATTCCATGCTGTTGGCTGTCTCATGGGAGGAGTGAGAGTAAAAGAATGAAACAGGACACCCATAATAGCAGCTATCTACAGAGGCTGCTTCTCCTTTTCTAGAAGTAGTTCAAAGTAGAGCTTGTCCATGAGTCTTCATCAGGACCGGGATTACATCTGCTTCCTTTACCACTACCTGCCTAGCACTCATCCAGGATCTGAAATGCAGTGCTCAGTGCTTGATGAATGAATGAATGTTGCACTGTTTTCCTCTCTTGGGACCTTGTAAGGGTACTCACATGCTGGTGCTTCCATTTATAGGCGAGGACCTGGAGGTCCAGCAAGGTTGGGTGACTTGCACACAAACACACAACCTGTAAGTCTAGCCAGAGCCCAGTGCAAAACAAAGCCCATGAGCTCCCTTCCCCGCCATCCTACTCTCAGGACTCTTCTAAATCATGTCCTACTTCCCTTGAATATTTTCCAGTCAGTGCAGCCATCCCTGATTGTGGAATCATCTCTGAATTCTATGACTCATATCTGAATCACAGAACTATTTAATAGTTGAAAGGGACTTTTGATGTCATCTAGACCTCCCACCCAGTGTGGAAATTTCCCCAGCAATGTCTATCTGGCAAACACTCATTCTCTTCCCCTGGAATTCTCTCAAGTTCCAGGACAGGACTATTTTCAGAGTCACAAAGTTCTGCAGACCATGCTCTAAGATTTCTAGGTGTGCGGCCCTGGACATCCACCTAAGACAGAGTGTAGCTGTAGTTCCTTCTGTGAGAGCCTTTCAGATGTTCAGATGGTTCTCACACTCCCTAAGCCAATTCTTTTTTCCATGCCACCTATTTCTGACCACCATATCCATCGTAGACCATGTTACCAGGCCATCCAAGGTGTTTTGAGCAATAACATCCCTTACTGGATATGGGGGAAATTGCACCAAAGGGCTCCCTCATGAGGTTGTGTGAGTTGCTGCTGGTTTCTTAGGAGTGGGGGACTGACACTTAGTGCCAGTCAAAGAACTGCTTGTTTTGAAGAGTCATCGCCGTGCTGTCAAATCTCGTCATTTTCGATGTTTGTCTTAAACAGTGCCATTCTAAGTGTTCTCGCCAATTATGAGGTTCCTGACAAGCTATACTTTGGGGACTTCTAAATTAGAATCCAAAAGGATTTTTTTCTTCTTCTCTAATGGAGTGCTTAGAAGGAGAGACACAAAGTTTGCTATGCTACAAGAATATAGGGATTTTTCTTTTCTTTTTTCCCCCATCTGTTTTTACTTCCTAATGCTTTACAGTGTACATTGTTACAAGAAAAATGGTAGGTTAGGGGAGGGGTAGGGGGAATCCAGTGCCTAAAAACTGGTGTCACATAATGCAATGTAATAAAAAATTAAAAAAAAAGAAAAATGCTAAAAACTTTCAGAAAAAGTTTTAACAGTATGTCCCCTTAACATCTTTTCTTTATTCTTTTCCAGATTGTTATCATGTCCTTGGTACATGGTCTGCAGTTGGAAAGCCCTTGTGCACATCTCTGCAGTGACTGCAATGGCCTTGAGCTTTATTGCAGACTCCCTACAAATGTGCTCTTCTGGACACAGGCAGCAGTACTGCATACACATCCAGGCTTGTCGAGAGAGCATCAGGCAGTTCCTCATACTGTCTGTCCACCCCTAGTTTGTGCAACCTCCAGTTTTAGCTCTTAAAGTCTCTTTATGGACACTGGTCATGTCCCCATTAGTCCTGAACTCCCCAGCTCTCCACCCATCTCTCCACCTCCCAGCACATCCTTGGCTGCCCTCCTTGTGTGCTAGGATAGCTCTGGGATGATAAAAGGACAGAGAGATCTTAGAGCGCAGAAAGACAAAAGTCCAACTGAATGAAGACTATGCAACAGTTGTATCATTCCTCTTGAGCAAGTTCACAGCTGTCCAGACTCAACTCTTGCTCCAGTGTTGGACTGGGTGTTTTTGCTCTGTACTGGGAGCTCTGGGAGGACTCACCTGGCAGCCTCTCACTGCAGCACATGTCCAGGGCTCCTCCCTCGGAGTCATCGGCAGTGTGGTTCTCTCTCTCACCCCTACAGCAGGACAAAACAAAGGAGAGGATAGTTGTTGAGCCAGGATCAGACAGGAAGCAAAGAGAAGAAGCCTTCCTCTCATGCAGCCTGTGTATCTTTGAACAACCTCACCCATCTGGTGGGTGCAAGGAAAGACCACCCCAAGGAGGGGTTGAGCTGTAGAGGCAGGAGTCAAACCTTGGCAGTGTTTTCCATGTGGAATTGGAAGCACCACAACCACCACGATCATCCTCACTACTCTATAAGGAGGACTTGCCATGTGCAAAGTACAACCAACTTTACCACCCTGAGACTTCACCATGACCCCAGGGGTTAGGGATCATTAAATGGGCTCAGAGAGGTGAAATAACTTGCCCAAGGTTACACAGATTACTAGGGGGGAGCTGGGTTGGCCAGTTTGGTCTAGGATTCCAGGCTCAAGCTCTCATGGATGTGACATTCTGCCTTCCAGTTCCTGTGACTGCAGACCACAGATAAGTAAGAAGTGGGGTCTGGGTAACACATAGTACTGTGCCTAGCTCTCCAAGAGGTGTAAATACACTGTGCCTCAAGCAATGGAAAGCAGCATGCTGAACTCTTCCCCAGAAATAGCCAGGAAAAGCAGTTTTATGCATGTGTTGTATACTCTGAATATGGTTTTTCTGAAAGCAGAATACCTCCTTCTAGGCCATTACAGCATGTTTTAGGTCTATACTGGGGTTGAGTTTTTCATTTACCTAGCAAGCTGGAACAACTAAACCTCATGAGGTTTCTCTAGAGTGGGCATATCGTGGGGGGCAACCATGCAGTGCAAGGGGGCCCCCTTCTCTTCCAGTGGCCAGAAATGTGGGTGTGAACAGGTGTGGCTCTGTGTTCCCTCTGTATCTCTGACCTTGGCAGTAGCTGAACACACAAAGCATGTTGAGACAATCAGATCCTTTCCACTGCACATATGAAATGCATTCTGGAAGGCCTGGCATCTGTACCAGTGAGTGCTCTATCATGGTCACTGTGGTGTCGTGGAGGGTGGGGCTGCCACCATCTGCTACTGAAGGCCATAGAGCTGCATCATGCCAGCCTACACTTAGTCTGGACTAGGCAGTGTGTCCATCCAGACTTTGACATGCCCCAAGACACTGCCAATACATCCCCACATTTTAGCTAAGGCAGTGTGATCTGGCCTCTGAAAGCGGCCACTGATAGAACCTTTTGTACAGACTCCCTAGCGTACTGCTTCCGAGAAGTACTGGCAGCCAGGTGCCCTCTTTTTCTTTTTGTTAAGACTTATTTATTTAAAAGCAGAGTGATAGGTGCAGCTGGAAGGAGGGAGGTGGGAAGGGAGGCAGAGGATCAGGGAGGGCAGGAGGGGGAGGGAGAGAGTAAGAGACATCTCTTCCATCTTCTGGTTCATTCTCCAAATGACTGGCAACTGCCAAGGTTGGACTAGGTCAAAGCCAGGAGCCAGCAACTCCAACTAGATCTCTCACTTGTGCGTGGCAGGAATCCAAGCTCTTGGGTCATCATCTGCTGCCTCCTGGGCACATCAGCAGGGAGTTGGAGCAGAAGCAGAGTGGCCAGGACTTGAAGCAGGAACTATAATGTGGGATAGTCATTTCGAGTGCCAGCTCAGCCATCTATGAGAAAACAGCTGCACCCAGGAAGGAGCCCCTCTTCCCATTCTGCCTCCCAGGGTTTTCCTGGGGCCTATTTTAGGTCCAGCTGCAGATTTTAAAAATGAAGGGCAGAAAGGCTGGGTTCAGGCTGAGCCTTCTCACTCTGCTATTTTCTGCTTTTAACCTGCATTGTACTACTTCATTTTCCCCCTGCTCCAACTGGCAGAACCTCTGAGAATCCCAAGTCCCAGAGCTCAACTGTCCTGTGGTGAAAGGGCTGATCCTTCAAGGCAAATACTTAAATTTAAAGGCTCTCTTTTAAATGTCCCTCTTCTCTCTGTCCACTGTTTTGGCTCAAGCCACCATCATCTCTTGTTCGATGATATTTTAGTTGGTTTCTGGCATGTACTCACTCTGGCCTCCAAAACATTGTTCAGAGGGCTCAATGCAAATGATGTGTGTAGGTTGTGCACTTACAGACAGGGTAGGCTTGAGCTCAAATTGTTTCCTAAAAACTCAACATTTATCACATAGTCTTCCTTGAAAAAATACTTGCCTGGATGGCATCTGATAACAACAAGAGCAGTAAAGCCCCTTTGACATGGTTCATTAGATGTCACGTGCTGCAGCCCCTTTAGCCTTTCAACTTTATCTTGTGTTCCTCCTGCCCTTGATCTCTGTACTCCAGCCACAATGGACAGGCCCCTTTTTTTGCACAGTGCCTGTGCGCAAACTCTCATCTCTGCCTGGGGAGCTCCTCCAGTTCTATTTCCCAGTGCTTGTTACTCAATAGAACTTGACACAGTTGGAAGCTTCATTTTAATGTATGCCACTATTTGATTAGCATCAGTCTCAACCATTAGACTGTAGGTGCCATGAGGGAGGGACCCCCATCTATCTTCTTTGCCATTGCATCCTCAGAGCCTAGCAAGTACTTGGTAGTTGGGTACTCAGTAAATGAATCTTGTGGAATGAGTTTTGCTCTGACCTTTTCAGAAAAACATCAGGAACACAAGCCATTAACTGAGCTGCTCTGTGGGCAGGACCTTGCTATACTGCTGTCCACTGCAGAAGAGAATCACAGATATATTTGGAAGGTACCCATTTTACAGTTGAGGAAACTGAGGCCTAGAAGGTGACTTTGACTTGCCCCAGCCTGTGTATCGATTTGGTGTCCATCTATTGCCAACTTCTCAATCCTGAGTTTTTCTTCCTTTACCCTATGCAGCATCCCAGCTGAAGGACAGCCCACTGAGAGTAGACCCCTGGCTTGGGGCAGAAAGGCCACCCAGGTGTCCAGATAGTTCTGAAAGGAGACCCGTGTGTGACTCATACCTGCTTTCACACCTTCAGCCTTCCAGGCCTCAAGCTGTGTTTAGAATAGCTCAGTGCTGCATGTGTGCAGTGAACTCTATAAATAAGCTTCCTAGAAAATGACTAATTTCATAATCAGAAAAGTAGGGAGAGTAGCACCTCTTGACTGCAGAGGAAAATGGAGCAAGGGCCCATTGCTTGGCCTTGTTGTCAAAGGCAGCCCCTGTGCATACAGACTGTTGGGGTGGACATGGGGCTTTAATTAGATTTTCAAAGGGAATGGATGGTACACTCAGGCTGGATGCAGAAGCCCACTTTTGGGGTAATGTCCTCCTCCATGCCCAACAAGAGTAAGGAGAACAGCCTGCCTTGGCTCATCATGGGCTCCCCTTTGTCTCTCCATCTCCACTTCCACCAGCTGGGCAACAGGAGCAGAGGACTGGCCAGTGTCAAGAGGCAGCACTTCTCTGGACTGGTTCCTGTTGCTTTTTGAACCGAGAACCTGGAGAAGGTGGCACTGGGAAATCACACATGTCCCTCCCCCTGGGCAGGGGAGGTCTGCAACGGGAACGGTGATTTGTTGGATCTGGTTCCAAATTATTGCCTTTTCTTTTTTTCCCCTTTATTGTGATTAAATTCATATAGCATCAAAAGTAAATCCTGGAGACCAGCGAGGTAGGAGCAATTGACACTAATGGGAATAAGTGATACTGAAAGGAAAATGGGAGCGCCATTCTGGATGGTAGTGTGGCCTAGTGGTTAGGATGCCCATATTACACGCTGGAGTAAGCACCCAGCTCTTGTTCCTGACTCTGCCTACCTGCTAGTTCAGATCTGAGTGGTAGTTGTGATGGCTCATAGATGGGTTCTTGCCATCACCTTGGGTGACTTAGATTGGATAACTTGTTCTCAGCTTCAACTCCAGCCCAATCCAGCTCAGGCCAGTGTAGGCATTTAGGGTATAAATCAGAAGATCTTTCTCTCAAATTAAAAAATAACAACTAAAAATAAAAGGTACAAATTTGGTAGCATATAGTACATTTACAATTTTGTGCCACCACTGTTACCTAGTTTCGGAATATTTTTACCAGCCTGAAAGTAAACCCACACCCATTAAGCCGCCTCTCCCATCCCTCCCTTCACCTAAGCAGGCCCTGGCAACATTTCCTGTCTCCAAATGGATTTTCACAGAAGTGGAATCACACAATATGGATTTTTGTGTTTGGTTTCTTCCACTTACTCTAACATTTCCTAGGTCATCCAAATTGGTGGCGTGGATCAGTGCTTTATTCCTTTTTAGGACTGAAGAATATGGATAGATCACATTTTATTTACCTATTCATCAGTAAATGGACATTCGGGTTGTTTTCATCTTTTGGTTATGTGAGCAGTATAATCATATGCCAAACTACTCTTAAATACTCTGCTCTCATCCAAGTCTGGCTTTGGACAACCCTTTCCTAGCCCTTCATCCATGGTAGTACTTCAACAAAAAGACTTTGAATTAAATTTATATTGGTGCAAAAAATTTTTTGAAATATCTTAGCATTTTTTTTTTTTTGCTTAGTCACATTTTCTCGGACTTTTCTAAAGAACCCTTATATATAACAAGATGCTAAGCTTCTTGCAGCTTGCATACCATTGCCTTCATTTTATTGTGTGTGTATGTGAAGGTGACACATACTACGTAGTTTCTCTGTCAGTGCTGGGAACTGGCAACCCAGTCTGGACCACTCATGCCCACTTCCAGGAGGTCATGGTCAGTGGTAGAGGTACTGGGGACCAGATGTAGTGCTCTAACAGAAGCCTGTCCAGGAAGGACTGCAGGTGCTGGCCCTCTACTGAGGGTGAGATGGGACAGAAACCTGTCCAGGAAGGACTAGGCATACCATCTGTCTGCTGAGAATGGAATGGCAGGGGTGTGAGGCAGTATCGTATAGTGGATGCCAGCTTTGCCTGGACTTCTACAGAGGGTGGGCTCGCAGGTACAGTGAAGTAGGCAGAGGAGACTGAGTCTCCTTCCAATGTGTCTGAGGAGTGAGAAGGGGTTAGGTTACAGATCCCAGGGTTGCTGGGCTTGATGTTGACAGGCAG